AGAAAACAGCATAACAGTCTTTAGTGGAAGAAGAAACAGACCGGACCGTCCATCAGAGTAAGGGAGGAGACAGCTGCGCACGCACCTCACCTATCATTACCTCCTCCACGCTACTGGAGGTCTTCTGATCCAAGGAACAGGAAGTCATTTCCTCTTCCTTAGGTCAAATAAGATTGCCTCTCATTCCCAGACGTTGGGTGACATCCCCGACGGATGTAGCGCTTCCATGTGAATTATAATGAACGCCCTCTTGTCTCCTAAGAGGTTTCTCTCCTCAGTGCTGAGCAGAACTGCACAGTACCACAGATGTACATCTATTGATTCCTTAAGACGATGCACAGTACCACAGATGTACATCTATTAATTCCTTAAGACGATGCACAGTACTACAGATGTACATCCATTGATCTCTTAAAACAATGTTCAGCACTACCAAACGCACATCCTGGGTAACACCACGAAATAGAGGATGGTTAATTGGTCATTATGTTTGCATCCTTTCAACTACACGAGGGATCATTAAGGCTTCACATGTTAAATGACATTTTTATCGCTAAAATAAGAATTAAAGTAAATTCTCTCGTGTATACAATACAGATAACCTTCCCCACAAAGGATTCATGATAAGTAAATATAAAAGTCAGAAAAGGATAAGAAATTTAAAGGATTATTTTCTGACATGAAAAACAAAAACAACAGGAAGGAAGATACGCAATCTGAAAGGATATTTCCAAATGTTTTACGAAAGTAATTTTAAGAAAAATCTGATAAATCAAACAGTAAGGATGTAATTACAAACACTGCAGACGGGACATCACCATCATAGTTCTGCTCTTGTATTTACAACTAGGTAATCACATACATAATTGCTGACGAACAATGCTCTCCCTGCCTAGTGCTCTCTGTTTCTGGGCTGGACAGACCCATACTCTCTCCCTGGTGCTATCCGTTTCCCTGCTGGACAGCCACACTCCCCTGCCTAGTGCTGTTTCTTTCTCGGTTGGACAGCCCACACTCTCTGCCAAGTGCTGTTTATTTCTCGGCTGGACAGCCACACTCCCTGCCTAGTGCTGTTTGTTTCTCGGCTGGACAGCCACACTCCCTGCAGGGTAGCCGTTCTATTTTTTATTGCGATGGAGGCAGCGATCAATTTAGCCTCTCGTTGTCTTCTCCACCGCGGCCAGCACCTGTGTGTGTGTGTGTGTGTGTGTTAGTTACCATTTTGTCCTAGGCACATGTAGATTAGACACTAGGCCTGGTGTATATGAGTACGTGTGCGCGTGTGTGTGTGTGTGTTTACTCATCCATTCATACTCACCTATTTGTGCTTGCAGCGGTCGAGTCATAGCCTCCTGGCCCCGCCTCATCACCGATCGCTACTAGGTCCTCACTCTCCCTGCTCCATGAGCTTTATCAACCTCATCTTAAAACTATGTATGGTTCCTGCCTCCACTACGTCACTTTCTAGGCTATTCCATTTCCTGACAACTCTATGACTAAAGAAATACTTCCTAACAACTCTATGACTAAAGAAATACTTCCTAACAACTCTATGACTAAAGAAATACTTCCTAACATCCTTTTGACTCATCTGAGTCTTCAACTTCCAATTGTGACTCTTTGTTTCTGTATCCCCTCTCTGGAACATCCTGCCTCTGAACACTTTGTCTATTCCTCGCAGTATTTTGTATGTCGTTATCATATCTCCACTAACCCTCCTGTCCTTCAGTTTCGTCAGGCCAATTTCCCTTAACCTTTCTTCGTGGAACATTGTCCTTTGCTCTGGAACTAGCCTTGTTGCAAACCTTTGCACTTCCTCTAATTTCTTGACGTGCTTTACCAGGTGTGGGTTCCAAACTGGTGCTGCATACTCCAGTATGGGCCTGACGTATACGGTGTATAAAGTCTTTAACGATTCCTTACTGAGGTATCGGAACGCTATTCATAGGTTTGCTAGGCGCCCATATGCTGCAGCAGTTATCTGGTTGATGTGTGCTTCCGGAGACGTGCTCGGTATTATACTCACCCCAAGATCTTTCTCCTTGAGTGAGGTTTGCAGTATTTTGCCACCTTGACTATACCCTGTCTGCGGTCTTCTTTGCTTTTTCCCGATCTTCATGACTTTGCATTCTGCGGGGTTAAATTCGAGGAGCCTGATCCTCATCCGATTTAGTTATCCTCATTAACTTCACATCGTCTGCAAACAGGGACACTTCTTAATTTATCCCTTCCGCCATGTCATTCACATATACCAAAAATAGCACTGGTCGTAGGACTAACCCTGTGGAACTCCGCTCGTCACAGGCGCCCACTCTGAGACCTTGTCACGCACCATGACTCGTTGTTGCCTCCTTGTCACGCCTTTCTTGTTATGCGGGCTTGATCCTCTAGCTTTTGCATTAACCTCTTGTGAGGAACTGTGTCGACGACCTTCTTTCAGTCCAAGAAAATGCAATCTACCCATCCCTTTCTCACGTGGCTTACTTCTCTTACCTTGTCATAAAACTCCAGTAGGTTTGTGACACAGGATTTTCCTTCCCTGAATCCCTTTCTTTGTGTGTGTGGTTTTGTGTGTGTGTGTGTGTGTGTTTGCGTGCGTATGTGCGTGCCCATTACCCATGTTTTTAAACCACTTATTAGCTTGTTGCTTCAATCACCGTCAATATCATTAACTTTCTCCACCATTTCCGACATCGACACTACAGCCGCTAATCAGTGACAATAAATTACAGTTCGCAAACGGGAACAAAATACTTAGTCATTTACTTCAGAGGAACTCACTCTCCGCCTTGGCAGAGTCAAACTCAGGTTCTTTGAACTCATTGAGATACAGATGTAACATAAAACTGGGCAGACGCTGTCCGTTGTTCTCCAAAGCTGGGTATACCAGCCTCTTTAACCATATATATAGAAAAATAGGCATGGGTGAGAAGAGAAAAGCGGTCTGAAAACGGCGGTTTCAATGACCAGATCAGAAAGGAAAATGGTAGAAGGCCACAAGTACAGGAAGAAGACCGAGAGGAACCAGAAAGGCTAAGGAAGGTGAAGAATTTATGGGAAATGACAAGATCTGTGAGGAACTGAGGAGACGATTCAATGTGTTATCTGTGGAATCAGAAGACTAAACAACATTCATACAAAGTTGGGAATAAATGGAGTAAAATGCACCATGATGCATTGGATACTTATATTAACTATAACGTTAATAATAAATAATTTAATACATCTTTTCAGGAGTTATGCACTGTTCCAGGAAGTGAAGAAACTAATGAGAGAACTGAACACATCACGGGTAATGGATCTCATCAGTGTATCAACTAAGGTTCTGAAAGTAGAAGCAGAAGAACCATGTAATCAGTCACCAACTGCCATCGCCGTGGAAAACCGTAAATGTTACCCCAATATCCGAGCAAGAGGACAGGTAGGGAGTGGTGCACTACACACCTGTGCTCATGACATATTTCCCAAGGCCATGGAGAATATATTTAAAACAGTGGGGCGCCTGCAAAATAGTGGATTAATAAAAAACAGCCAATAAAGGATGAGAGAAAGAATTTCATGTCTTATAAACCTGTTTTACGATAAGGTAATAATTAAAACAGAAAGAAGGATTATTAAGAAGATTATTGATACCAGAGCATCAGACAGACTGATGCACAAACTTGACTAACAGGGAAAGTTAATGGAAAAGATTGAAAGTGGACTGTAGACTACCTAAGGGGTCAGGGTGGACACAACACTTTGGGTAAGGATGACACTTGGGGTCCCATAAAGAGTATTACTGGGGTAGGTATTATATATACATTTAAAAGACATACCAGAGGACCTCTGTGTATGTTTGCTTGTTGATGATGTAAAACTGATAAGGAGAATAAAAGATGATTTCAACAACTTAGAGGAATAGTGAGATAAATGGTTAATGGATTTACTCTGGGTGATGGTTATCATAGTGGTGATGGTGATGGTGGTGGCAGTGGTGGTGGTGGTAGTGGTGGTGGTGGTAGTGGTGGTAGTAGTAGTAATAGTAGTAGTAGTAGTGGTGGTGGTGGTGGTAATGATAGTTGTGGTGGGGGCCAGATAAAATGAGGTTTGCGTGTTCATCAGTTGACTTTAGCCTTCACCTTGACCTCATTTATATTTCCTTGTGGTCACTTATTTTCATTTCCTTTCTCTTAAAAAATGTAATGCATATATGCATATATATATACATATATATATATATATATATATATATATATATATATATATATATATATATATATATATATATATATATATATATATATATATATATATATATATATATATAAAAATATAATATGAGAATAGAATTGAGAAATGAGATAAGTAATAAATATATGTACAATAGAAAGATTTTTCATGTATATAGAGTCGAGTGGGGAATGAAAGAAAATCGAGAGAAGAGTAGAACATAACAGGAAGATTTGCTTGAATACCTGCTTGTTGCTGATTGAACGTGCGGGTGCATGGGAATGAAATAGCTGTGAACCAGGCTTTAGCGCTGATGCATTCGGGCTGGGAAAGAACATGCCTGTGAATCCTGACCGTTCCCATGTAGCAGTTCGGTTGCTGACTGCAAGACCGCTGCCTGGAATCTTGACCGTTCCCATCATATCGTCCTCTACTCAATCTCTCTCTCTCTCTCTCTCTCTCTCTCTCTCTCTCTCTCTCTCTCTCTCTCTCTCTCTCAAGCTATGCAGTGTCGTAAGAATTAGCAACAGAAGAAATGAGGGAAAGTTTTCTCTAGTAACATGACTCACGAAACCGTAATGACTCGGTTGTTGACAAACTACGCTACGGTCGGGAATTGAACTCGGTCTGGAGTTTAACGACCCACTATCCCCGAGTTCAATCCCGCCCTTATTTTGTCTTTTTTTCTCGGAGTAAGTTTGCCAAACATGACGAACGTGTTTATTTGATGGTTCCCTGGATTTACCAGGACACGGCGCTGCCTGACGTTTCGCGTCTGCTTTGCTGATAAGTCTTTTTAGGTAATCTGACGTAAAATAATAAAAAGAACAAGTTTCATGTGGAAAAAGTACAGAAACTCGCCCTGGGAAATGCATAAGGGATCGAGCGAAGGGACTGAGCTGCATCAGGCTTGGATCCGGTTCTTCTTGAATCCGGCTGATGTCCACTTGTTTCACCGGTTATTAAAGAATTCAAATGTCGCAGTCACCTTTCGTTATCGTTCGCTCTCACGACTGCAGAACGACTAACACATACATTGGATATAAACGTAGATACGACTTTTCGATTGAACGTTCGAAACATTGTCTTGTTTCAGCTCCAGTTTACGGGTAAATTACTCTTAGAACATTAATGATTAAGCTCATAGACTTCCTACGCCGAAAATTTAGTTAACAGCTTGGTTGGTTAATGGGGTTTCAAGCCTATCGACTACAAGATCATTTAGGCTGCATGTCACCTGTTCACCACCAGTCAGGAGAATATATATTGAGAGATACACACCTCTAGGTGTATATACTCTCTGTGGTATTTAATTAACAGAAATGTTGCTCTCAAGTTCAGTGATGGTGAAAGTTGAAATTCTGACCACCCTCTGAGGTTTTTGACCTCCCAGAGGTTTTGACCTTGAGGTTCTGACCTCCCTGAGAATTTGACCCCCCTGAGGGTTTGACCTCCTAAGGGCCTCGGTTGCTGCCACCAACCGCCTCATACAAACAATTTTCTTTGAGTAGAAGTTGCCTAGGTGAGTCAACAACCGGCGCTATGATGGGCATGTACGGTCAGAAATTCCGCATGCGGGGCCGCCACAGCGGCGGTGGCAGGGACTCACCGCCCACTATCGGCCACGACCGGGTCAACTACGTCAACCCAACCGTCAACTACGACAAGTTCCCGCGAAAGATCCGCCCCAAGAAGGGTCGGTCGAGCGCAAACAGCGAGGTGTCGACCTATTCGCCAGAGAGGTCGCGCCGCTGCTCGTGTTCTGAGAACCTCAACTTGACCTCGGAGCAGCTGCTGGCCCTCAGAAGGCACTCACAGGATCACAGCAGAGACGAGGTTGACGGATGGCTGCAGCAGCAGCAGCAGACTGACGAGATTCTTCACGCCTCCGCAGACGTCCTTACCAGGATGTTTACATGTCTCAATACCAACGCTGAACCCCCACCCAGGCCGCCCATCCCTCAGGACCCCAGGTACACCAGGCCCACTGAGACCATCTTCTCCAGGTACGTCCTATGTGATGACACTAAATTCCCAATGATATGAAGAAATTTGCTATCACCTAATCCATAGCCGGGTCTTTCTTTCCTTGTCAGAGTTTACAAGTTTTATTCATTATTAAATTGGCATTTCTAGTATCAGATTTTTAAATTACCAGACTGGTGAACTATCAATTTGCTAATTGGCAAACTGATAGTTCACTAATAGTTCTACTGTCTCTTATAAAACTCGAGCTGATTTAAAATACTATTTAACATTTGAGTTAAACCCTACATTCTTAATCACGAATAAACCCCGATAATGATTAGTATTCCTTCGAAAGTGTTATTAAAATATCTGTGATGCATAAACTATGTCTCTTTAAAGAGCCACAATTAATATAAATTCGCTCATGTAAGACATTCAAGCTTCTGAAGAGACATCTTACAGAACCTAATTCGTTTCATACATCTTCGTAAGACTGACGAGGGAAGAGGAGGATCACACACGCATTTTGAAATCTTAAGTAACACTGACCCTGAGGATGGACAGAACAGATTTAAGACCTTGGTATTGCCTTTAGGCAAATGTTATTTTGATATTTCAAATCAACACATGATACATGTAGTTTGTATGCATTAAAGGCAGAAACTGCTGTAATAGGGAATATGTTTCTTTTTTTTTTTTACCTCAAGGTAAGGGAAACACATCCACCATCATTCAGTCTTTCGCTGTCTATAGTTTTTTACATAATCTCGAAATATGCAAAAAAAAAAAAAAAAAAAAAAAAAATGAGACATTTTTAATCATAGACGTTATGTGTGGCATTCCATGTAAAAACTGCCATAAATTTTTGTGTTAAGTCAAATGCCTAAGACACATAAGAAAGCATACCAGGAAAGCTCTTCACTGATTTACGTAGAGAATATTGCGTCATCCTACGCACAGGGATGGGAATGACAATTCACCAATAACCCGCACTTACGATGATGTCTCGTTCCGTCCCTGAACATTGTCAAATAACAACTGAACGAGAAAAAAGGCAGAAAGGGCTAGAAGCCAGAAAGGGCCAGAAGCCAGAACGGTTGTGGAAGTAGTAGTAGTAGTACTGTAGCAGTAGCAGTAGTAGTAGTAGTAGTAGTAGTAGTAGCAGTAGTAGTAGTAGCTAGTAGTATAGCAGTAGTAGTTAGTTAGACGTACCAGTAGGTATGTAGCAGTAAGTAGTAGTAGTTGTAGTGTAAGTAGCAGTAATAACAGTAGTAGCAGTAGTAGTAGTAGTAGTAGTAGTAGTAGTAGTAGTGTAGTAGTAGCAGTAGTAGTTAGTATGTAGTAGTCAGTAAGTAGTACAGTAGTAGCAGTAGCAGTAGTAGTAGTAGTAGTAGTGTAGTAGTAGCAGTAATAGTAGCAGTAGTAGTAGTAGTCAGTAGTAGTAGTAGTAGTAGTAGTACAGAGTAGTAGTAGTAGTATGTAGTAGTAGTAGTAGTACTGTAGTAATAGCAGTAGTAGTAGTAGAGTATAGCAGTATAGTAGTAGTAGTGTAGTAGCAGTAGTATAGTAGTAGTAGTAGTACTAGTAGTAGTATGTAGTATAGCATAGCAGTAGTAAGTAGTAGTAGTATTAGTAGCAGTAGTAGTAGATTAGTAGTAGTAGTAGTAGTATATAGTAATAGCACATAGCAGTAGTAGCAGTAGAGTATAGTACTGTAGTAGTAGCAGTAGTAGTAGTATGCAGTAATAGCAGAGTAGTAGTAGTAATAGTAGATAGTAGAAGTAGGCGTAGTAGCAGTATAGCTAGTATAGTATAGTAGTAGTACTGTAGTAGTAGTATTAGTAATAGCACAAATAGCAGTAGTAGTAGTACGTAGTAGTCAGTAGTAGTACTGTAGTATGTAGCAGTAGTAGTAGTAATACTAGTAGTATGCAGTACAGTAGAGTAGTAGTAGTATAGAATACAGAATAGCAGTAGTAGCAGTAGTAGTAGTAGTAGTACAGTAGTAGTAGTACTGTAGTAGTTGTAGTAGTAGTAGTAGAGTAGTGTAGTAGCAGTAGTGAGCAGTAGTAGTAGTAGTAGTAGTACGTAGTAGTAGCATAGTAGTATAGTAGCAGAGTGAGAGTAGTCAGTGTAGTATAGTAGTAGTAGTAGTAGAATAGTAATATGTAGATAGTAGCAGTAGTAAGTAGTATGTAGTAGTAGTATAGTAGTAGTAGTAGTAGAGTAGTAGCAGTAAGCAGTAATAAGCAGTAGTAGTAGTAAGTATAGTTAGTAGATAGTATTGTACTGTAGTAGTAGTAGTAGTAGTAGTAATAGCAGAGATAGTAGAGTAGTAGTAGTAGTAGTGAGTATAGTAGTAGTATGTAGTAGTAGTAGTAGTAGTAGTGCATATAGCAGAGTAGCTAGTAGTAGTAGTAGTAGTATAGTAGTAGTAGTAGTAGTAAGGTACAGCATAGTAGTAGTAGCAGTAGTAGTAAGTAGTAGTAGCAGAGTAGTAGTAGTAGTAGTAGTAGTAGTAGTAGTAGTATAGTCAGTGTAGTAGTAGTAGTAGTAGTAGTTAGATATAGAGCGTAGCTAGTAGTAGTAGTGTAGTAGTAGTATGTAGTAGTAGCAGTGTAGTAGTAGTAGCAGTTAGTATGAGTAGTAGTAGTAGTAGTAGTAGTAGTAGAGTAGTTGTAGTAAAGTAGTAGTAGTAGTAGTAGTAGCATAATGCAGCAGTAGCAGAGTAGCAGTAGTAGTAGTAGTAGTATGTAGTAGTCAGTAGTAGTAATAGCAGCAGTAGTAGTAGTAGCAGTAGTAGTGTAGTACTGTAGTAGTAGCAGTAGTAGTAGTTAGCATTAGCAGTAGTAAGTAGTAGTAGTACTGTAGTAGAGTAGTAGTAGTAGTAGTAGTAGTAGTAGTAGTAGTAATAGTCTGAGTGAGTAGCAGCAGTAGTAGTAGTAGAAGTAGAGTATTACGTAGTAGTAGTAGTAGTAGTAGCATATAGTAGTAGTATAGTAGTAGTAGTATAAGGTAGTATAGCAGAGTAGTAGAGTAGTTAGTGCAGTAGTAGTAGTAGTAGTATTAGTAGTACGTAGCAGTAGTAGTAGTAGCAGTTAGCAGCTAGTAGCAGTGCAGTATTAGAGTAGTAGTAGTGTAGTCTGTAGTAATAGTAGTAGTAGTAGTAATAGCAGTAGTAGTAGCAGTATAGTACAGTAGACTAGTAGTAGTACTGAGTAGTAGCAGTAGTAAGTAGTTAGTATGTATACTAGAGTAGTAGAAAGTAATAGCAGTGGCAGATAGTAGTAGTAGTAGTAGTAGTAGTACTGTAGTAGTAGTAGTATGTAGTAGATAGTAGTAGTAGTAGTAGCAAGTAGTATAGCAGCAATAGCAGTAGTAGAGTCAGTAGAATAGTAGTAGTAGATAGTAGTAGTATGTAGTAGTAGCAGTAGTAGTAGTAATAGTAGTAGTAGTAGTAGTAGAGTATTAGTAGCAGTATGTAGTAGTAGCAGTAGTAGGTAGTAGTAGTATGTAGTAGTAGTAAGTAATACAGCTAGTAGTGTAGTTAGCTAGTAATAGCAGTAGTAGTAGTAGCAGTAGTAGTAGTAGTACGTAGTAGTAGTAGTAGTTAGTAGTAGTAGTAGTAGTCAGTAGTAGTAGTCAGTACTGTAGTCAGTAGTAGTAGTAAGTAGTAGTAGTAGTAGTAGCGTAGCAGTAGATGTAGTTTAGTAGTGAGTAGCAGTAAGTAGCAGTAGTAGAGTATGTAGCAGTAGTAGTAGTAGTAGAGTAGCAGTAGTTAGTAGTAGTAGTAGTAGTAGTAGTACTGTAGTAGTAGCATGTAGTAGTAGTAGTAATAGCAAGTAGTAGCAGTAGTAGTAGTAGCTAGTAGTATAGCAGTAGTATATGTACTGTAGTAGTAGAGAGTAGTAGTAGTGTAGTACAGTAAGTAGAGCAGTAGCAGTAGTAGTATAGTAGTAGTATTAGTAGTATAGTATGGTAGTAGTAGTTGTAGTAGTACTGTAGTAATAGTAGTAATAGTAGCGTTAGTAGTGTAATAGTAGCAGTAGTAGTAATCAGTAGTTATGTCAGTAGTAGTAGGTTAGTAGTATAGTAGTATAGAGTAAGTAGTAGTAGTATAGTACAGTAGTAGTGTAGTATAGTAGAGTAGTAGAATAGAGTAGTAGCAGAGTAGTATAGTAGTACTGTATAGAGTTAGCCAGTAAGTTAGAGTAGTATAGTAGTAGTTGTAGTAGTAGTATGTAGTAGTAAGCAGTAGTAGTAGTAGAGATACGCAGTTAGCAGTAAGTAGTAGTAGTAGTAGCAGTAGTAGTAGTGTAGTAGTAGTAGTAGTAGCATAGCTAGTAGTAGAGTAGCAGCGTATAGTAGTAGTTAGACAGTATAGCAGCAGTATTTGAGTAGTAGTAGCAGTAGTAGTAGAGTAGTAGTATGCAGTATGTAGTGAACTGTAGTAGTAAGTAGTAGTAGTAGTAGATAATAGCAGAGTAGTAGTAGTAGTATGTAGTAAGTAGCAGATAGTAGTAGTAGTAGTAGTAGTAGCGTAGTAGTAGTAGCTAGTAGTAGTAGTAGTAGTAGTAGTAGTAGTAGTAGTAGTAGTAGTAGTAGTAGTAGCAGTAATAGCAGCAGTAGCAGTAGTAGCAGTAGTAGTAGTAGTAGTAGAGTAGTAGTATAGTACTTTGAGTAGTAGTAGTAGTAGTAGTATAGTAGTAGCATGTAAGTAGAGTAGTAGTAGTAGTAGTATAATAGTAGAGTAGTAGTAGTAGTAGTAGTAATAGTAAGTAGTAGCTAGTAGCTAGAGTAGTAGTATGTAGTAGTATAGTAGTAATAGCAGTAGTAGAGTAGTAGATAGTAGAGTAGAGTAGTAGTAGTAGAAGTAGTAAGTAGTAGTACGTCAGTAGTAAGTAGTAGAGTAGTCAGTATAGCAGCAGTAGTAGCAGTAGTAGTAGTAATAGTAGTAGTATGTAGTAGTAGCGTAGTAGTAGTAGATAATAGCAGCAGTAGCGTAGTAAGTAGTAGTGTAGTAGTAGTAGTAGTGTAG